AGAGACCCTACCAATAGCTTGGCTACTAAAACCAACAAAATCATCACTAATTCGACTTCTCTTATCGATTCGAACAAGCCGCGTTCTCTAAAACCTTCGGCTGCTAGACTACCCAGATTTTATGGCCTTCCAAAGATCCACAAAGAAGGTACCCCGCTCCGTCCTATCGTCTCCACCATTAACTCACCCATACGTGACTTTACCGGAAGAACCAAAGAGTATAACAACAAGTGTAGTTAAATCATTAGGACCACATAGCTTTAAGTGCAAAGAGAGGGCACTCTCTAAAATAGCAACAGACAACTTGACCTACATTCTGTGGTGCTTGATTCAGAAACATGGTCATTAACAATGTTTTTTTTTAACCAAAAACTTAAAAGTGTACAAACAAGCATGGGGAGATGCATGCATGGAATTACACTGAGACAGAAGAGGAACACATGGATTAGAGAACATACACATGTCAGTGACATAATTTTGTAAACAATAGTAAGTTATAATAATAGAGTTTTTCCCCTTTTTTCTGGCAACAAAACTGAAACCTTTTCACAAGGATTCATGTCTGCATTAACCACAATATCTGCAGTCAAAATGCAAAAAAAACATACTATGATAATATATGCATTGTCCTTGAAACGCCTTTTGGCGTCATCTGGTCGAGCACCAATTGGGTCGAGGCTCAATAGAAAGCCGTCCCTTAGTGTGGACCAATCAGTTTCAAGGACAATGCATATATTATCATAGTATGTTTTTTGTTTGCATTTTTACTGCAGGTATTGTGGTTAATGCAGACATTAATCCTTGTAAAAAGGTTTCAGTTTTGTTGCCAGAAAAAAGGGGAAAAACTATATTATTATATTTTGGTACTGGCAAAGGAGGTCTGATGATGAAATAGTAAGTTAGCTTGGACAGAACATGGCACTAGAAGGAATGATGGATGATGGTTGAGAATAATGACAGTGGCAGCCAAATAATATAATTTGTTCCAGAGGATGTTCACTGAGGAGATGGAGCAATGAAATCAGCGTGTGTCCAGGTGCTACAGTGAGGGAAATAAGTATTTGATCCCCTGCTGATTTTGTACGTTTGCCCACTGACAAAGAAATGATCAGTCTATAATTTTAATGGTAGGTTTATTTGAACAGTGAGAGACAGAATAACAACAAATCCAGAAAAACGCATGTCAAAAATGTTATAAATTGATATGCATTTTAATCAGGGAAATAAGTATTTGACCCCTCTGCAAAACATGACTTAGTACTTGGAGGCAAAACCCTTGTTGGCAATCACAGAGGTCAGACGTTTCTTGTAGTTGGCCACCAGGTTTGCACACATCTCAGGAGGGATTTTGTCCCACTCCTCTTTGCAGATCTTCTCCAAGTCATTAAGGTTTCGAGGCTGACGTATGGCAACTCGAACCTTCAGCTCCCTCCACATATTTTCTATGGGATTAAGGTCTGGATACTGGCTAGGCCACTCCAGGACCTTAATGTGCTTCTTCTTGAGCCACTCCTTTGTTGCCTTGGCCGTGTGTTTTGGGTCATTGTCATGCTGGAATACCCATCCACGACCCATTTTAAATGCCCTGGCTGAGGGAAGGAGGTTCTGGCCCCGTCCATCGTCCCTTTGATGCGGTGAAGTTGTCCCCTTAGCAGGAAAACACCCCCAAAGCATAATGTTTCCACCTCCATGTTTGACGGTGGGGATGGTGTTCTTGGGGTCATAGGCAGCATTCCTCCTCCAAACACGGCGAGTTGAGTTGATTCCAAAGAGCTCCATTTTGGTCTCATCTGACCACAACACTTTCACCCAGTTGTTCTCTGAATCATTCAGATGTTCATTGGCAAACTTCAGACGGGCATGTATATGTGCTTTCTTGAGCAGGGGACCTTGCGGGCGCTGCAGGATTTGAGTCCTTCACGGCGTAGTGTGTTACCAATTGTTTTCTTTGTGACTATGGTCCCAGCTGCCTTGAGATCATTGACAAAATCCTCCCGTGTAATTCTGGGCTGATTCCTCACCGTTCTCATGATCATTGCAACTCCACGAGGTGAGATCTTGCATGGAGCCCCAGGCCGAGGGAGATTGACAATTATTTTGTGTTTCTTCCATTTACGAATAATCGCACCAACTATTGTCACCTTCTCACCAAGCTGTTTGGCAATGGTCTTGTAGCCCATCCCAGCCTTGTTTAGGTCTACAATCTTGTCCCTGATCTCCTTGGAGAGCTCTTTGGTCTTGGCCATGGTGGAGAGTTTGGAATCTGATTGATTGATTGCTTCTGTGGACAGGTGTCTTTTATACAGGTAACAAGCTGAGATTAGGAGCACTTCCTTTAAGAGTGTGCTCCTAATCTCAGCTCGTTGCCTGTATTAAAGATACCTGCGTGCCAGAAATCTTTCTGATTGATAGGGGGTCAAATACTTATTTCCCTCATTAAAATACAAATCAATTTATAACATTTTTGACATGCGTTTTTCTGGATTTTTTTGTTGTTATTCTGTCTCTCACTGTTCAAATAAACCTACCATTAAAATTATAGACTGATAATTTCTTTGTCAGTGGGCAAACGTACAAAATCAGCAGGGGATCAAATACTTTTTTCCCTCACTGTATGGGGAGTGAATTCAATAGCAGAATCGCGAGAAATGATTAAGAGAGCGGTGACTTGGGGAAGTCTTAATCCAGCAGTTTCAATGCATATATTATCAGAGCATGTTTGTTTGCATGTTTTGCCATGAGTATGTGTGGTTAATGCAGACGTGATGCCTTTCAATAGGTTTGATGTTTGAACATCTTAACACCTGTTTTATTGCCAGAAAGGGTAAAAGCCTATTCTTATTTTTTCATTATTTTGATGCAGGCAAAAAGGTTCCATAGATATGTAGAAATAGATTTACCATGGTTGATGATGATGATTAGCTTGGCTAAATAACATTCATGGTCAACCTTTCAACATGGTGTCACCCAAAAAAATTATATGGATAATTGTATTGGCTACGAAATCCTCCGTCGTAAGGGACAGGTTTATGAAACAAATGCTGATGGCTTGCCAAACGGTCATGGCAAGATCACCCCATCTATAGGATGGAGCCCTGGATGACTATAACCTATTTTATTTGTATGTGTATGTGGAGTCACAGAAGGGAGGTCTGTTTGTATTGTTATTTCGTACACAAAAAACACCACACAGTGGCTAAACCGTGCTATCAGCTGCGTAGGAGAAAACCGACAGCAGGTGGCGCTGTGTGTTCTCCGTTTGGCAAAAGCCGCGATTGTACCACGCAGACCTCGGCAGAACTCCCAACAGATTTTCATTATTTAACCATTCCGTGTGCGCAAAACATGTGTGACAAGATTTGAAGCTTTCGTGACTGCAGGAATCCATACTCTTTGGTTCTTTCGGTAAAGTCACGTAGGTAGAAAAATAACAGATCACGTCGCTTCGATCGCAACACAAGCGACCATCATCAGCAGGAGAACTGCTGTCAGCAGTTCTCCTGCTGTATCTGTTCCACCTGATGACGGTCGCTTGTGTTGCGATCGAAACGTCGTGATCCGTTATTTTTCTACCTACGTGACTTTACCGAAAGAACCAAAGAGTATGTATGTCAAGGTAATGTTACGAATGTCCATTCGTTTACAAATAAATACACTCGAAGAGGAAACAGATGTAAGAGTTAACTCAGGTCTGATTAATAAGCTGATATGTAAAGATAGGTTTATTGACCACAGTAAAGAAAAGAAACACAAATATTTATTCCCAATTTTTATAAGAGATGAATTCCTCCAAAGCAGCCGCTGAGGTTCATGATGGTGCAGACCCGATCCAAAAGCCCACTCATCCTTCATTACATACATAAAACGTTTTTAAAAAGTAGAGGTACTTTATTATTCAAAGAAATTTAAGCTTGAGCTGATAGGCGCACATGCTTGCTGTGTAAATAATCCACCAAGTTCACCTTGTGCAAAAAGGGGCCAACTCTGTAGATGATGAAGTAGCAACGGCACAAACAGGAAAACACCTAAGACACTAATTCGGTACAAAAACATAATGCATTTATGTGGTGTGTATTGTTAGTATTCCCTATATCAATAACTGGGTGCCTTCAATTTAGCTCATTCATCTTAAGGCACTTCCTCTGATTCTTGTATCTCAGCAATTGTGTGTGTGTCGGCGCACGAGTTGGTGTCCCAACGTACTAAAAAAAACACCTGATCACTGAGCCCACCGCCACAATGCCGGGCTTCCATTTTCAAACAATGGGCAGCGCTTAAATTAATCTGCATAAATTAACCAAGGGAGATGTGGACACCTGATGCATACGTGGAAATTAAAACTCTCTCCTGTGTGCACCTGCGCCTTCCAACACCAAACCACGGAACGTACAATGTCGTACTGCCCCAACAACAACGGAATGGCTAAATCTTTTCGAACTGAATCTCTAATATAGTAATAGGTTTTACCCTTTTAACTGGCACAAAAAACTGACACCTTTATTCAAGGCATCGTGTTTGCAATACCACAACACAAGCAGTTAAAATGCAAACAAAAGAGACAACTCTGATAATAATATGCACTGTCCTTGAATTTGATTAGTCCACACCCGAGACGGCTTTTCTTAGAGCCTAGTCTCCACTGGTGTTGGACCAGAAGACGCCAAAAGGCGTACAAAAGTTGCACAGTGCATATTATTATCAGAGTTGTCTCTTTTGTTTGCATTTTGACTGCTTGTGTTGTGGTTATTGCAAACATGATGCCTTGAATAAAGGTGTCAGTTTTTGTGCCAGTTCAAAGGGTAAAACCTATTACTATATCTTGTTACTGGCAAAGGAGGTCTCATAATGAAAATGAATCTCTAATAGTTTATATTCACTGGCCATAGAGAAGACTCATCACTGGAGTTGGATGTACGTGGCCGCACACCCCCGCCTCTGGCATTAAGCCCATGTGTATTGGTGTGCAGGGTGCTGCTTGTGGGGGGAGGAGCGCTCGGCACCTGCTGGAAGAGCTCGTTGGGCAGAGGTGCGCGTTCCGGCCAGCAGGGCACAGCACAGGGCGAGTGGAGCCCACAGCAGCAGCGTCATCTTCCTTGCTGGGGCCGGCGGACGGGCAGGCACTCTATGAGACAGAGAAAGAACCATACCCTATTCATCGCCTTCTCTCACGATTCTGTGATGTAATCATTCATATAGCACTGCACACGCACTCATATATTGATGTTACTCTTTGATGGACGTCTTCGAATTTCATCATGGGCTGCCACTCCATTGTTAATTTTGATCATATGCCATTACCACTTTTAGTCACGTGTTCTGCCGAAGCCTACTTTGATGTCTTAAAACTACAAATGGTGTCTTGATCCACGCGTTTCAACTTGTCGTCTCAGTGCAACTCCACCCATGCACCTCTGACTGCTTATTTATGCACTTTTCAGTTTTTGTTCCACGTCATTTGCCAATTTCCATATTTCCTGATCAATGTCATGGCAGGACACATACACTGATGTCATTTAGCTGTCTTGCTGCACTGATTTAAACCAAGGTCTCCATTGGAAAATAGCTTCCTGGCATGTATATTATTTACAACCCCGTGTCATCCAATGCTCAATGAAAGCTTCCAGCGCGCCACGTCTCCGACCTGGTCATGGCTACAGGCCATTATGGGTAACTGTAAACTAACTCTCGCTGGAACATAGGCAGGGCTGGCGAGGGGTGGGCTGATGTGGGCCCTGCATCACCAAATGTCCCTGTGGCCCACCCAAGTTAATTCTCCTAAGCGGTGTGAAGCACTGTTGTATGTATGTTGAACTTCTTTCGCACCGTACGTAGCCAACCGCGCTGTTATGGTGGCTCCCCACACAGCCGATCTACTGCCCCCCCCCCCGCCACCCATTCTAGAGGAGCTGAATTTGGGCCTGGACACAACTCAGCTGCCAGAGGAGGACGACTCCCACCACTCCCATCGCGATCAACGGGTTCGCAACCCAACCAGTGTGAATCTCGGGGTTAGGCACCATCACTACAACAGGAATCAACAGGTGTGAGGCAACTTGGCGATGGGTCATCAACGTAACGGGTCGCCACAGAACGACCGTTTGATCAATGGGCCACTGACTGTTCGACTCTGGAAGTCCTCTCGCGGTGGCGCAAATGTGGGTAAGCCTCACCTATTCTACCCCAAACCGCGCGCCTTCAAGGTTCTTGAATGCACGGCTCGAGGCCTCTGCATGCAGTGGTGTAATCGAACCCCCGATTAGCACGGTCGGCTACGTACGGTGCGAAAGAAGTTCACCATACATACGCAAGCACCGTGTGTGTGCGCGCGCGCGCCTGTAACCGTTCCACTGCGCACTTCAGAACTCTCAAAGGCAAACAGTGACCCCCACGTATCCGTAACTCGACGTTGTGCCAATGACAATAACGTTACAACTCATCTCATTATCTGGGTCTAAAGAGACCCGCCACCGACAGTGTCAGAATAAAGCCTCATAATGTCAGCAGACGAGCGGGCTTCGGGTACGTTGGAGCTCGTCGGTATTCGTGCAAACGCAGAAGACAGTCCGATATCGGGTCGTGTGGCTACGTGGGAGCGCAGTGGAGGGCGCCTGCTCTCACGCAGGCAGACGTCTGCTCACCCGTCTGTGTCTGCTCACCCGTCTGTCTGCTCACCCGTCTGTCTGCTCACCCCTCTGTGTCTGCTCACCCCTCTGTGTCTGCTCACCCGTCTGTGTCTGCTCACCCGTCTGTGTCTGCTCACCCGTCTGTCTGCTCACCCGTCTGTCTGCTCACCCGTCTGTGTCTGCTCACCCGTCTGTGTCTGCTCACCCGTCTGTGTCTGCTCACCCGTTTGTCTGCTCACCCGTCTGTGTCTGCTCACCCGTCTGTCTGCTCACTCGTCTGTCTGCTCACCCGTCTGTCTGCTCACCCGTCTGTCTGCTCACCCGTCTGTCTGCTCACCCGTCTGTCTGCTCACCCGTCTGTGTCTGCTCACCCGTCTATGTCTGCTCACCTGTCTGTCTGCTCACCCGTCTGTGTCTGCTCACCTGTCTGTGTCTGCTCACGCGTCTGTCTGCTCACCCGTCTGTCTGCTCACCCGTCTGTCTGCTCACCCCTCTGTGTCTGCTTACCCGTCTGTGTCTGCTCACCCCGAGGACTCGACCCAAGCCACCCGCGTACAACGCATTTGCGAATTTAAAATCAACTCCTTCACTTTGCTCCACTATTTGTGTACGACACATCGCGTTCCGCAACATTTGAAGTGCGGAGTAGGTGTGTGCATTTGCGCGTGCTAACAAAGGATGCAAAACTCATCATCCGCTACCACAACTTACAATTTCACATCTGCGAGCGCAGATGATGATTCGAGAGCGCAAGAAGATCTCTCCAACGAGAATAGGTTCGGATCAAGAACCGATAACTGAAGGATTCGACTTGCATCGCATCCCCAGCGACGCAGGCGGACTCCGAGAGACCACAGCAACAGGAATCCCCCCTAACGCGTTGGCGCCGCAAGCCACAAATTCAGCTCCGCTGCAGAACGAACATCTTGTGCGCGTAAAGCTCCATCGGGAGAGATGTCCCGACGTGTGTGTGTGTGCTTACGTGTGCCGGCAAGAGTGGCGAGAGGCCGGGTACCTGGCGACCGGTGATGAGAAGAGAGATGGTCAGAGTGGATGGGCAGCAGCAGCAGTAGAAGCGCGGAGTCGCCTCTGCTCTCTCGTGCGGGAGCCGAGTGAGGAGCGGGGGGGGGGCGTGGATGAGGGCGGGGTACGCGGGGGTAGACGCGCGTGGAGTGGGGCACGACGCGAGAAACACACCCCGCGGACAACACTCTCAAAGACACACACAGAACGCACCGGGCGGACAGGCAGGGAACACACCCAGGCACACTCACGGGCAGACACACGCCGTCACAGTCCCGCCACAACTCATTGCCAGTGCTGTCACAACCGAGATGTGTCACCCACCAGCGCGTTCAGCTCCAGCGGAGCACCAACACCACCAACACCACCACGGCTCTCCTCGCTGACTCGGGGAGTCGAGGGATGAGGTTTTCGCGAGAGCTGGGAGGAGCGGGCCTGTTGGCGAGTCCCTTTGCGACGCACAAAAGCTGGCGTAAACAGTTACGCGCATTTGTTGCGACGTGTAACTTTATAGAACTTGAAGCAGGCACTTGGTGCTCGCAGGATAATACTCTGAAGAGTTATTGTGTTGGACAAATGTTTGCAGCCTACCTTTTGCCAATTCCAACGTGAACTTTTCAGAAAGGGAATGCGTGCCAAGTTATAGTCCTTGTCATCTGAGTGCGTACTTACGGAATTTCATTACACGCTCGAGTGTGTATGAAGACAACTGGTGGTATACAAGTACAGTAATGATAACACATTGCCGTCATTTACAGAATTATAACGTATCCAGAATATTTCCATCGGCACGTAATCTGTGCACAGCGCAACGACGCGGTGCCCACAGCTGCGCCCTTCGCAGGCGAGCTCCATCCTCCTGGTTGTACGGTGCCTTTTTTTCAGGAATATTTTGATGTTTTTTTTTTAATCCTGGAGTTTCTGTTTGCACAGTCACACAGTCACTTTAAGATGTTTTCTTGTTCGTGTTTTTGATTTTTGTTTGTTTGTTTGTTGCGGTTGCACCCGATCCAAGAGCCGAATGGCTCACGGGGCTATACCAAGAGAAATGGAACTGAACTAAGGTTGAGAGTCGACGATGCCCCCAAATTGCGCGATGCGCGGTTCCCGTCGTTCGCGTGGCGCGATCGGCGCGCGAGCGTGGTGGCGGCCACCGACGAAGACTTCGCGCAGTTGAGCGGTGTTGGAGCCTCCTCCGCCAGGCGGCGCTGTGTCCGCGGATCTCGGGAAATCGTCTTGGGGGAGAACGGGGGGGAGAACGGGGGGGGGAGAACGGGGGGGAGAACGGGGGGGAGAACGGGGGGGAGAACGGGGGGGGGAGAACGGGGGGGGGGGAGAACGGGGGGGGGGGGAGAACGGGGGGGGGGGGAGAACGGGGGGGGGGAGAACGGGGGGGGGGAACGGGGGGGAGAACGGGGGGGAGAACGGGGGGGAGAACGGGGGGGAGAACGGGGGGGAGAACGGGGGGGAGGTCATTTTGCCCTCTGGCCAGGGACTTTTGTTTTTTTGTTTGCTGTTCTAGCAGTCTTTCCGGATTGATTTTAATTGTGCATCGTTTCATGTTTACGTTGTGAAATGTGTTGTATATATCGGTAACGCCCAGTGGTTTTATATTTGACGCGTATTTTGGTCAAACTTGATTTGGAGCGTATTTTGGTCGTGTAAAGCACATCATCATCATCACGATCCATGGGCATATAGCCCGTCAGGTGTCAACTGCACATTTCGTCCTTTGTTACCACTTTCCTCCGTCTCGTGCCAATATGCTCAAGTAGTGCCACATCTTTCTGGCACCAATAGCCGGTGGGTTTGCAGAGTACCACCGGCTATCATCAGAGATTTCTTCATGAAGCCATCCAGATATATAAACACAGGCACAACTTCAACCGAGGAGATGGGTACAAACTGAGCAATTATTGGAAGGACGTTATTAACCAAGTAAAATCTTAACTGATGTTTCCATCCTACCTGCCTATGTCAGCTGTTATTTCCAACTCTGAGTACATCACCAGGTTAAATGTCTTTAGATTAACGGGCTGAGTGTCTCACTAACACAGCTGCCGTTGCCCCTTTCCCTCGATGCGGCGGAAGCTCTCGTTTTTTAACAGACTATAACTGGCTATGATGTTTCTGTGTATGTGTAATGACTGTGCTTGTCACTGTATGGTGCCAGGGCTTGCGAAGCCACGGCGGGTAACGTGTTGGCATTACGGGCAGCCCGGGTTTCTGGATGTAGTACCAACACTAGCGGGGCTTGGGTGAGCGCTGGTTGGGGCGGGGGCACCGCGAGCAGTGTGCGGTGCGGGCTCCCGGTGAGGGAGCGAGAGGGAGCGTCAGCCAGCCAGGGTTACCTTGGGGCATGATACGCTGGGTAACCTGCTGTCACGTGACCGGACGATATTGGAGGGGGACCACCGGTGGACGGGGGCCGTGGGGCGGTCACGTGGTCCAAAGGAGCACTCGGGAACCTTCGAGAAGGAGTTCGAGAGGCCCGGAAGGTGGGCGGAGCCAGCCCCAGCCCGGGGGCGTATAACGAGGGCCCCGTGAGGAGCTCGGGGTTCTTTGTGTGCTGGTGTTACGAAGATCCACGTCGGGGAGAAGAAGCCTCTAGCCACGCGGTCCGGGACCTTGTTTGTGGTCCGGACCGGGATAGCGAACCATGTCTAGTTCTGCCGTAACGTGGTTAGATAGCCATTCGAGACCCGAGTGTAGAATGTGTTGTATTACGTGTTAACGTGTAATAAATAGTGTTGCTCCCAAGATAACGTCTGCAACTCAGTTGGACTCACTACATATGTCTCTCACTGTGTTTGTGTCTCTATGTTTATTTGTTTGTCTTTCTGTGTGTGTATCTCTCCCTGTATGTGCCTCTATGTGTGTATCTCTCTCTTTGTGTCTCTCTGTGTTGTGTCTCTGTGTGTGTCTCAGTGTGTTTTGTACCATCGGACACTCCACCCCCACAACTCCCAATCGGTGATGGGGCAGTTGTGGAGAGAGTGGAGAATTTCCCATATCTGGGCAGTGTGCTTATGACCGGCTCCAGTTTAACAGCTGAGGTCTCACTCCAAATCAGTCGAGCGGCAATATATTTTTATCAGTTGCGTAACGCTGTGTGGAAGCTACCTGGTCTGTCGCTCCGCACTAAGCTTCAGGTCTTCTCCGCCACAGTCATTTCCTCCGTTCTCTACGCTTGCGAAACGTGGACCGCCCTAATGGAACATCTTCGCCGGTTAGAAACATTTAGGCTGGCCTGCCTAAGATCCATCCTGGGTTAAACCAGGCTGGATTGTGTGAGGAGCTCACAAATCCTTGAAAGATCTGGACAAAATCCCATCGGTGAGCTCCTCTGGCAGGCAAGGCTGCGTTGGCTGGGCCATGAAGCCCACATGCCCAGTCACCGCATACCTAAACAGCTTTTGTTCGGCCGGATCGAGGGGGCTAAACGGGCGCGGCACGGGCTAGAGAGAGATGGAGTGATGTGGTACTGGAGGATGTGGAGCTGAGTGGACTTGCCGATGACTGGTACCAGCGGTGTCAAGATCGGCCTCTGTGGAGGAGGCTCGTGAATGACGCTACTGGGCAGTTGGAGGCAGTCGCCCTCCAACAACAACGGAGGGCGGAGGAGCGACGCTCACAACAGCGAGTGGATCGCCGGGTGGCTAAAGCACAGAAGTTGGCACAGTAGGGGGCACAGGTGGTGTATCAGTCAGTCATCTCAGTCAGTCGACCCGTGGCACCTGGGTCTGCCCCGTGACCTGCCAGCGGGCGTTCGACACTTCACGTGGCCTCAAGGTGCACATAGCCTGGCACAAGCGTCACAGCCACTTAGTGGCGAATGGCGGTTGTTGTTGTTGTCTCTCTGTGTGTGTGTCTCTGTGTGTCTCTCTGTGTGTGTATCTCTCTCTGTATGTGTCTCTCTGTGTGTGTTTCTCTCTATGTGCTTGTGTCTCTTTATGCGTGTCTCTCTCTCTCTCTCCCTCTCTGTGGTTGTCTCTCTGTGTGTCTCTGTGTGTGTCTTTGTGTGTGTCTCTCTCGATGTGGATGTCCCTCTGTTTGTGGGTTGTCCCTACGTGCATGTCTCTCTCTTAGTGTCTCTCTCTCTTCGTGTCTCTCTGTGCGTGTCTCTCTCTGTGTGGGTCTCTCTCTACATGTGTCTCTCTCGGTTGTGTATCTATGTGTGTCTCTCTCTGTGTGGGTCTCTCTCTCTACATGTGCGTGTCTCTCTCTGTCTCTCTAGGTTGTGTCTCTCTCTGTGTCTCTGTGTGTGTGTGTCTCTCTCTCTCTCTCTCTGTGTGCTTGTGTCTCTTTATGTGTGTCTCTCTCTGTCTGTGGTTGTCTCTCTGTATGTGTCTTTGTGTGTGTCTCTCTCTATGTGGATGTCCCTTTATGTTTGTGGGTTGTCCCTCTGTGTGTGTCTTTCTGTGTGTGTCTCTCTGTGTGTCTCTTTGTTTGTCTCTCTCTCTGTGTCTCTCTCTCCATGTGTATATCTTGTTCTTGCGGGTTTTTGTTCCTGTTGTCCGGCTCTCTGACATTGACATGTTAATATTCTCATTGGCACAACCGCCGGTTGCTGGAGCTGTCTCACATTGACATGCTAATCTCTTACATTTACATTTACGTACAAATTCCTTCTCTAGCTCGGCCCACTTACCCTTGGGTTGGGCCCACCAAAAGCCTATATAACCTCTTGTTGCAGCAGCTCTTTCTCCTACGTCAGCTCCTGCTGTTTGTTTCACCTGATGACGGTTGCTTGTGTTGCGATCGAAACGTTGTGATCTATTAATTTTCTATCTACGTGACTTTACCGAAAAAAACAAAGAGTATGGATTCCTGCAGTCACAAAAGCTTCAAATCAAGATGAATCTCCCGAACTTTATATTAATTGAAAATGCATTTCTTTAGAACAGTTTATTGTGTTTAAGCATGGTCAAGGTTGGGATCGAACCCACGACCTGTATACCAGGCGAGGTAGTTAAATATCACCACCGTGGCAACCTACATACAATGTACATATAATACAATGTACATATTTAAAAATGCAATAATCCCACCGCCAACAAAAGTTATGGGGAATAGATCTCCCTGCGCAGCTGCAATAGGCTGTTGTTTTTAAGGCGTGGGTTTGCGGGAAAGGGGCCAGATGTTTCCATTAACTTGCTATAAGAGGACTTCTGGCCATCGACCGCGCATTCCACACTCCAGTTAAACCCAACAATGTGACGGAGAACGCCATCACTCAGCAATACATGCACCAGCTGCGACGCTCCAGTGACTTCAACTTTTTAAACAGAAACTTAAAGCATCATCTGATAATTATCCTTCACTTAACCTTCGAGATTCTCGTAAAAAGTTGACTGTACAGCGTGCAAACCTGGCACTCGTTGTACATTTTCAGAATATAAATAATGAAGCTTGAATTAATTAATTTAGGCAGAGGTTATTCCGACTGTGTTGTCAAGTACGGGGGACATCTGGAAGTTGGCTTGTTCTACAGATCAAAGCACATGAACCAGTATAGCTTTGCAGTAAGACTGCATTCAATTCTTGTGCAGATTGCATGCACTTTCGTGAGGAGTTTTGTTTACACATTTACTGGATTCATGTGCCAGTGGTTGGTTCAATTTGTTCCACCCATTCCACAAGAATACCCCACAGCCAATCAGAAGCCAGGGAAGGGCCAAGGAGAATCTGAACCGTGCATGCTAACATCAGCATGCGGACCAATCGGGCTCTGCCCGGTTTTCATAAACGAATACAAAGACATGCAAATGTGCGTGTCCATGACTTGCTTCACTTTCTGATGGCAAAGACGTTGTTGAAGATCAAAATAGTGAAGACAGTGAACGATAAAATTCTGATGGTTAAGATAATCGTAATGCAGATGAGAGTTATGAGTGTAGATTGATGAATACTACAATGCAATTGGGACTTACCCTAAAGAAAACTGGACAAATTGATCAAAGGGTTGCCTAAAAACTGGATACAAAAAACTTCGCTGAAAGAAGTAATTCGCTTGCCTAAAATGGCCAAGGTGCCTTGCACGGTCCATCCCCTACCCATGAGGCCACTATATGTGACCCTATCTTGCAATGCCACATATCATGTGCCGTGTGATGTTATTTCGTTGTGCAATTTGAAACATAACGTTATTATTGCTACTTAAATATATCCAAGAACAAACACATGTTTGGAAACGTTGCAGAATACAGGCAGTTTAACTCGTAGGCTTTCGCGACCAATATTCTTCATAAGTTTTTTTGGGTTAGATCGCGTAAATATAAATGTGTCGGACTAGGTTTTCCCCTGATTGGACCAATCAGTTTCAAAGACAATGCATATATTATCAGAGTATGTTTTTTGTTTGCATTCTGACCACAAGTGTCGTAGTTAATGCAGACATGATTCCTTGTAAAAGGTTTCAGTTTGGTGTTTTAACATCTGAACACCTGTTTTGTGGCTAGAAAAAAGGGGAAAACCTATTCTCGTATTTTGGTACTGACAAAGGAGGTCCCATGATATAAATGTGTCATCAAACCCACCACCACCCGACACAGCCAATTAGTAAGATTTGTGACGTAAACAAAACATGCTAATTTGTTACTCGTGTAATGACAGGGTGACACCTGCCGGCCTGAAGGGGTAATTAAGTTATGGCTGCATTACGTAATGCCTTATTATAAGGGGGGCGTATCTGGGCTAAAGGTGAAGGGCGGAGTCAGTCGAGAAGCTCCAGGAACCAGCCTGGAGGTTCTGGAAAGGGAGCGTGGCCTATGTTAGAAAATACCCATTTTATGGGTGGAGTGATAGAGCAGTGATTTTTGTACTATGTTACGAACCAGGAGACCTTAGTTTGTTTCCCAGCCATGCCTAGCAGCAGTGGTGGTATCTGAACTGGTCCTTGGGTCCCTCTTCACCGAACCACACTGACCAGTGTGGTGAAATACGGTGTTAAACAATCCCCATGACTGACACGGTATGGGGAAGCTTTCATCCAGCAGTGGATTGATAGCTTTTAACTGTTCAGATAAAAAAAGACAACCTCAAACTCTTTCTTCAATTTAGCACCATTTTATTGTTTTTATAGGCGATGAATACAAATAACGATCCAAAGTTTAAACCACAAACAGTATACGATACACTTGACAGTGCTCAGTTTATACTTCGATGAACTGTGATAGCACAAGAGGATAACCATCAGTGAATGAAAAGTAAAAATTTCAGTATTAATTGCAATGCTAAAGCAGAGCTCGGAAAAATGTTATAGATGTGAAATAGTGAAATAGGAAGGTCTATAATCAATGTAAAAAATAGCAAAGATAAAACTTGTGTTCATGTAGTGTGTAAAACAAAATATCAATGATTACTTGCAATACGTATGATAAAATAATCAGCACATTTTAAATGACAATAAAATGTAAACTCGTGATGTATTTTCCATCTGCTTTTGTGTTTTTTCCTGCGATTCTACAAGGTTGCACTATTTAATTAGTTATTTTATCCCAGCTCCTGGTCTATATATCAAACTCACTTAATTAAGAAACAAATATAAACTACTACACAGAGGTTTAAAATTTCTCCCAATTAACTTTTTAAAGCGTAACTTGTTCTGCAATTCCAAACTGATTACAAAATAGGAAACAGCTTTGATCATATAAAAAATGGGAAAAGAAATGGCACGATAAAACTTAATGTAAAATGCTGCTTTCACCCCTTTGTGATATCAAATGTATGCTCCCTAAACTTTAAATGCACAGTCTATATTTTTTCACAATTCATGACAGTCGCGGGACAATGTTCCGTTTTTCAGAGGTGATCAAATCTTAACTGAGCTCACGTCTTTGTTAATTTAGCAATGTGCATGACGCGTTAGTTTTAACTCTGGGAATGCATACACTGAGGAAGCTACTTAGGCTGTGGGATTTTTGGAAATCCTGTGAGCGATCTTCTGGTAGGTTATGTCATTGCTGAGGACATCGTAGTCCACGACGGGGATGACCTTCTCCTGCATGACATCCATTTTCTTGGTGTTCGCCTCTCCCGTCACGAGTATGGAGAGCACCTTCTCATTCACATTCTCTCCCATGGACACGACATGAATGTTGACTTTAGCTTTAATCAATTCTTTAATTTGGGCTACCAGAGCACTCTGCTTGCTGTCTTGCACGTGTCCGTCTGTGAATATGAGCAATTGCCGCTTGGTCTTGGCCACAGGCTCGGCCTTGCTGTTTATGTAGTTGGCCGTGAAGCGAAGTGCGTCCGGCAAATCTGTGGTGCTTCCCAGGAATGTTTTTTCATGGATCCTTTGTGCCACCAGCGTGGCGTTGGTGTCGAATTCACTTACAACCTCCTGTTGTTTGGTGTTGCTGAACTGAATGACTCCTACGCGGGTCGTACTTCTGGCACTCCTGTCCCTGTAAGCATATTAGTATGATCATCATCATCATCAGCAACAGCAGCAGCAACAGCAGCAGCAACAGCAGCAGTAGCAACGGCAGATTCATCATTATAAACAGTCGTTTCATTATCATTTACTTAAAATATATATTCCACGTGAAATAACAAAGACTTAAGACATGTAATCATGATTATTTTCATTAAAAAAAGCCTCGCTATCCTTGCAAGAGATTCATGATGATTTTGAACACATTCCTGCGGAGGGAGCTGGTAGGAACGTTGGGTTGCTTGGTCAATGGCCAGGGTCAACGGCGGCAGCACCACGTGGTGTATTCCGCAAATATGTCCGACTGTGAGGGTGGGCACAAGCCAGCGTGAGTAGGTGAAATGTTGAGTTTTATAAGGGCACCACGGGGTGACCAGCCCCTCCCCACCCAGCCCCACCCCTCCCACCCTCCCCACCCAGCTCCTCCCCACCCTCCCCAACCAGCCCCTTCCCACCCTCCCCTCCCCACCCTCCCCAGCCCCTCCCCACCCTCCCCACCCAGCCCCTCCCCACCCTCCCCTCTCCACCCAGCCCACCCCTCCCATTTTATCCGGGTGTCCGGATACACGTGGACAGACATCCACAGACATACACAATTAATCCCCTGCCTCCTGTGAATTAATCCCGGTTGGGCTTCCAGTCCACTACGTTTCCTACCAGTATAAAGAAATGCTCTAGTTTTGAGAACCCTGCTCGGGAACATACTTTGGCACGAGTAATCGCTTGGCCACTTTCTCCACCACCAACTTGAGGCTTTTGAAGTTCTTTTCGCCAATGCTAGCAGAGCTGTCCAGCAACATCATGAGGTCTGTTGGCACGGTGAAGCCAGCTACACAGACAACAGTAATATAGCAGCAGGGAAAGAAAACAATTGACTGTCAAATCCTGTACATTGTTATGCTTGCTGTGACAAAAAATAAATAAAACAAATCTTATTCATATACAGCTTCATACCAGTTCCAAAGAGTTACATATAAAGTCTGTTTCAAATGCCTTAAATATTTCTTCATACAGATTCCAAAGCAATTTACGATAAAAGCATACATTGATTAATGAACAACTTCATTCGTAAATTATATGTTTTATATCCTATACATATTGTTGTTGAATGATGATAGATTTAAAATCTCACGATGTGCAGGTACAACACAATACAGAACCTATATTCTTGGTTCTTTCGGTAAAGTCACGTAGAAGGGAAACAATAAAATAATAAAAATATAAAACAATAAAATTCTCACGACGTTTCGACTGCAACACAAGCAATCATCATCAGGTGTGAAAACCACAGCAATTTTTTCAAATTTTTCTTTCTGTGGTTTTCACACCTGATGATGATTGCTTGTGTTGCAGTCGAAACGTCGTGATAATTTTATTGTTTTATATTTTTATTATTGTATTGTTTCCCTTCTACGTAATTTTACCGAAAGAACCAAGAATATGAATTCCTGCAGTCACGAAAGCTTTAAATCAAAATTTAATACAGAACCTGTAAGATTATTGGTCATTTCACATTTATAGGACCATAACCTTGGATACTAATGACATATCTTACCAGGACAAGTAAAATCTGGACACTTCCGATCTGAAAAAAACAAAAAAACAAACGTGAAATCATCATTTGCAATGAAGTCGTAAAAATAATTTAGTTTCATGCATTGGGCAGCAATTGTTCATAATTCCAAGCAACTTAATTTTTTTCACAGAAACCTAGTCCATCACCTTACTCATTACATGGTATCTGTCCCAAGTTTTTTGTTGTTAAATCATAATTCACTTAAACATTTGCTAAACTATACACACACAATATGAAGATGTCTAAGCAACGTAAAGTGTATGAGACAAGGCAACCACTGGCTGTGAAGACCTTTGCAGATGACGTTGGTGACGTTCTCCAGGAAGGAATCGTCCAGAAGCTCAGCGTAGGAGGCAACGGCCAAGACGGAGTCGGAATTCGCTTTGGCATTGCACTCAATATCTGTGATGCCCTCTGCCCTTGGCCCCCGTTTAAAGGCATCTCCCACTCCCACACCTCTAACCTGAAACGTAAATATCCAAATCCGAAGAACACTGTGAGACTATGTCAACACTTATGCAACGTCAGTGCTGCAGTCAAGGAATTTTAGCACAGGATAATGAACCTGATGAGCACACATTTTCACATGGTATTGTTTGGTATTCTATAGTTTACGTATGCTTATACAGAAGTTCGGCATGATACGTAAAATGACAACACTATGCAAACACAATTTTTATTCTTGGTTAGTAAATGTTATTTCGTAAATGCTTATGCCTAAAGTATGTAAAATGCCTATTATTCCCCACAAACTTTGCTTTTGTGACCAGGACAGTGATATTTTGAAATTTACCTATTTTCAATGAGAAAATGGGCAAACGTGTGTCTCTTCGTTCACATGAAGTCAGAAAAAAGCAACATATGAATCAAAATTAACATGTATTTATACTAAAGTCATACAAAAATGACTACAAAATATTTAGACACCAAGCAGCAGGAACATTTTTAAAAAAACTCAAAAATAATCATTGTTGCACAGTGTAATCAGTCCCATGGTGTAATTACGGTTATATGAATGTTAGCCATCATTTGGACATTTGAACTTACACATATATGAACTTACACGTTTGTGAACATTTGGACATGTGAACTTACACGTATGTGAACTTGTAAGTTCGCATATGTGAACATTTGGATCCGTGAACTTACACATATGTGAACGTACACGTATGCGAACTTACACGTATGCGAACTTACACGTATGCCAGGCAGATTGCAGAGTGACTTGAGGGACTTGACATCCCTTTTATCATCGTTGCGCCCGTCCGTCAACACAATGGCCACGCGGTTGGGGTTCTGCGTCTTCTCCAGCATTTTCTTCGTGAAATCGAGAGCGTGTCCTGTGTATGTTCCTCCAGCGATCCAGTTGAGATTCTTGATAGCCCTGCAAATAAAAACCACAGGAGCGTTATTTGCTATTTATCAACAGCATGATGAGCCACGGTAATGAAGAAGTAGACCAAATGTATGAAGAAATGACCCAACAACTAAAATGAGGATTAAACTGCATTTAAAAATCGTAATGGGTGACCTTGGTGCAGAAGTGAGTACGAGGTGACATAAGACGAATGGTAAATGTGGCATTCGAGAGTCCGTAGCCAGAGAGAGGTATCAAAACAACGAATACCTTCAAAAAAGAGCCGACTGATAATGAATTATAAATAAGTTAAACATAAAAAATATATATTTGTTACCGTTTAAAATCCATTAAGGACTTGATGGAGGAATCTTTGAAGTTGATCATTTCCTCGGTTTTTTCGTGACTGTACTGCACCACCATTATGTTGGATTCCTGAGGATCAAGACGTTGTTCAGGAGAGTGCACAGGTGCTTTCCTAAAGAGGGGTGACTACAGATTGTTACATTCCATCAGGCTTCAATATAAACTCTTGAAATGCAGGATATCATCGCATAATACCAAACATTTACAATATCGTGTGAAACAAGTTCACATCTGCACAACGTTTGACTTTTTGTTTAAGCTGGGTACTGTAAACTAAGTCTGTTTACTCTCAATTACAGCCAGTGGGAAGGTTAGAAATCAGTGTAATTGCACATTACAGTCATTTAATTTAATACATGCATAGTCTTACCTGAGAAATATAGATCTCAAAGATATCAATACACATTTTAAAAGTGTGTCATATAATCCTCCATTCCACACATCCAATGAATAAAAGTTGTAGCGTGAACATACGTGCCAATTTATTACCCGCAACTGTTCAATGTGCGGAAGTGGCACAAAATTGGCACTTTATTCATCACGCGACAAATTTCCAAATAGCTCTGTCGAGGTGGAGTAGGGTGTATGCCACACATTTTACCAACGCAATCTGACCCAACTATCAATTATGCATCATAGCATTGGTCACGATCTACTATGCATGACATTTTACTCTACTGTTACTCTCCTGTTAGTTGAATGTGTCATTGTGTTTTGTGATGTTGTCTTGACTGCTGTTTCACAATGCTGATATGTGCACTGTATATTGACTGCTCTTTTGACTGTATTATTATTTTCTGATTCAAGTCACCCTTGCCAGAGAGACGATTGCACTCAGTGGCCTTGTAACTGGTTTATTTAAAGTTGACGACTAAACATGTTTGAAAACTAATTTCTTAAGAACTGATTTTTTTGTTCAATTTGTTGTCCTTGCCCGCACCTCCGATTAGCACGGTTGGCTACGTACAGTGCAAACGAAGTTCAACATAATAAATGTTTTGGTTCGTGTCTGTGGATTTGCCTCCTTAGAGGACGTACCTTTATATTTTCATTGTCGACCACTCGGTTGAGAACTTGGATGATGAACTCCTTAGATATGGTGAAGCTCTCCGTTCCAATACTCTCGGAGCTGTCCAGCACAAAGATCAGTTCCACAGGCCCACACTTGCACTCTGACATTGGGCACACACACACATCACAATGACACGTTGAAATAAAGCCCATTGAGCTCGAATGTGCATAATTTTCAATGACAGTATCAAGAAAATAAACTAGATGTTGCAATAAAGATGTGTTATGTAATACATAAATAAATCAATTCAAGGAATATAAAAAAGCATATTGCTTACCACAGCAGGCTGGGGGGGAATACAGGAGAGGCAAAAAAGATAATGTATAATTAGTCACTTCCTAGCACAATTCAGATATATTTTAAGGCTACCAATGTGGTTCTTATTTTCAGCTTTTAAAGGCCAAGAGTGATTGTCTAGACTTTGTTTTTATGAAGTCAACATATTTTTTCCATTTATGGAAAATTATATCAAGTTATGTACCCTTTACACCACACGTTTTCTTCTGTATACAATTTAAATTAGGGTTATATTATCCAAGACACAAACATGTCAATTCATACAAAAACATGTTTTTCTTGTTCTCAATGCAAATTCCTTTTGAAGTGAGTTTCTTCAACCATACCCACATGCTCATTATGTAGCCAAGTGTGCAATCACAAGGAAGCATTTAATTGATGCCTGAGCTCTTGTGGTTTACAATACTTTTCTCAGAACAATTCTCATACATATTTGTGTTTGCAAGTGTTTATTTCAAACGGATGAGCAGTTTTCCTTAACATGCAGAGTGCAGGGACATACGAAGTGTTATTTTTCTTCACCGTTAATTATGACAATGTTCTCATAATAATCGGACTATACTTACAACACATGCGGCGAATTATATCCAGCATCTCGCATTCCTGCAACGACAAATATTTGTATTCTTTCAAGGAAAATTCAAAGCTACTCTATGATTATGCATCACATAACTGTACTATGCAATTATAACGTGCACGTGGTAGATATTACTGGAAATTACGCACATCGATTGCAGGTTTTCCTGGACTGCCTGGTGGACCCTGGGAAGAGAAATTCAATCCTTTTAGTCAGTGCGTGAGGCAATGGTCAATGTTCAAACGATGCTATTGTATTCTACCTTTAAGAACACAATGTGAATGTAAACACGAAGAGAAATGGTAACAATAGGTGGCATCTCACTATGTCGCCAGACGGCCCGGGATATCCCTTTGGTCCTTTAGGGCCTCCCTTGCCATTTATGTTTTGCTGCAAGGAAAGATTTCACATTTGTTAATTTAGGCAATAAAAACTTTGGTAAACAAGTATTGCAACTAAAGTCACTATCATGCATACTGTTTAGCAGTTACATGTTTAAAGCGTTATTACGACGATTAAATAATATAAACGATTATTGTGGTTTGCACCAAACTCACATCTTCACCAGCATCTCCAAATTCTCCTCTGTCTCCCTTTAATCCAGGGAACCCTTTAGGACCCTGTACAGGGGGAAAACGACATTTATGGAGTTGCTCTTTACGAATAGAATATTTACTATCTCTTCCACAGGGAAATCACAGCACGCAGTGCTCATGAACTGCTCGCTTTACTCCTCTGAAAATGTAATAAACAACAAAAACTTAAAAAAATCCGTTATACAGTATGTGTATCTCGATGTCTTTGTGCACAGATTGGAAAAATATATACTAATAAGCATTTTGATAACAATTATTTCATTCCCCAAATATGTGTACAAAGATAAATGTTAAAACATGAGATTTCATAGGCAGTGCTTGTGGCTGCTGGAATTCTCACTCTGTCACCCGAAGGCCCTCTCTGCCCTGAAGTTCCCTGGGGACGGAAATGAACAGCATGGAGATCACTGAAGCTGATAAGGCATAGTTTCTCCCGTTTATTGCATTCATGAAAAATAAATAATAATACATTTCATATCAAGTCGGTCATGCAAAACTGCATCTCACAACACTGTACAAGAAAACAGAAATACAATATTTTGCACCTCACAAGACACATAGCACACCCAAACCAAGGTCAACTCAATTCATAGAGCACAGTTATTTTACCTTAAACACAGTATTCACGCAACATTTGCAATATATAAACTAACATTTAAAAGGTGAATTCACATAAGAAATAATAATACTTCCTCAAAAATGCAGTAACTGCTGAACAAAGGGAAGGGAGTAACTCACAGGGAAGCCTTGCTGTCCCTTAATGCCCTCTGCAGGAGTGCCATCTTCACCCTAGGAGTGCAACACCCACATTTTGAACATCAGCAACAGAATTTGATATACACTTACATTTCAGCAACATGCCACATCATTAAAATATTGCATACACATTAATCAATGTTATCAGCAGTAATTTAAATAATATATATGTAGTCAAAACATGTCCACATGTCCAAGCATGACGATTATAGTGCAGTCCGGGTTGAACCTGTTAATCCTCGAAGTGCATTTTTGGGAAGCACAATGTTAATTCAAACTTTTATGTCGTGCAGAAATATAGGTCAGATGTTGTCCAGAGACGTATGCTTAAAAATACTGGAATTATCAGTGATGAGGGTTGAATTGGTGAGTGCAATGACACAATGCTTGAACATACATGGAATGAATTATGGCTAATTGAGGATGAGTGGCAGTGTTGTAAATTGCCACCTTACCCTCATTCCTACAGGGCCCTGCTCTCCAATGGGCCCTGGTACTCCTTTTGGTCCATCAGAACCCTAAAACGACCGACAACCAGTATGGATATATTATCTTGGGCTATGGAAGGAAACAATTAACCCATACATTATTTACACACACATACACTCACATTGCAATGTCCTATCATAGCATCTGATTTACTGTCTCAAGAGTTGCTGCAAAACCCAACATTTCACGGAGCCATTTACCAGTGCAGTAGTTTAGCAGTTTTCCATTTTCGCTTTAGTGAGGCCCGCCAGCTGGCTCATGTATACATTATACTGTACGGCATAGTTTTCCATATGCTATATAGCAAGGGCAGTTATGTAGTATGCTGGATTATTATTTTCTGAAGTTTGTTGCTACCAGTACCAGCAGCAACACAATCACAGCAATGAACATGTTGAGCCTTGACATTTAAATAAAACAAATACTTCAGAATATGTTGCTCAGAAATACCTTTAAATTTTGAAATTAATATTTCAATGCGTTCGTGAATCCATGCCTGTATTCCATCAGCAAAATAGTAAGTATGGTCGCCTTTTACTCTGTAAACTCATAAGAAATCTAAGCAGCACATGACACGTGTTTAAGTTTACACACACAGTATTCATATTCTTGGTTCTTTTGGTAAAGTCACGTAGAAGGGAAACAATAAGATAATAAAAATATAAAACAATACAATTCTCACGACGTTTCGACTGCAACACAAGCAATCATCATCAGGTGTGAAAACCACAGCAAGAAAATTTGAAAAAAAAATCTTGCTGTGGTTTTCACACCTGATGATGATTACTTGTTGCTTGTGTTGCAGTCGAAACGTCGTGATGATTTTATTGTTTTATATATTTTTTATTTTATTGTTTCCCTTCTACGTGACTTTACCGAAAAAAATAAGAATATGAATCCCTGCAGTCACGAAAGCTTTAAATCAAAACACACAGTATTATTTGAGCAATATAGAGGGCACACCTCTTCCCCGGGGATGCCCGGTTCGCCTTTATGACCTTTGGCACCTGGCCTACCTTTGGGACCCTGCGCAGGAGACGAGAAGGAAGAGGTGTTAGGTATACAAGACCACAAGCAAATGCACAACAGTATGTAAAAATTCACCCTAATGTACCCATACATTTTGGAATTAATATAAATTATCTTCCTTGGTTCTTTCGGTAAAGTCACGTAGAATGAGAATAAAATAAAATAACACACTAATATTCTCACGACGTTTCGGCCACAACACAAGCGGCCTTCACCTGATGAAGGCCGCTTGTGTTGTGGCCGAAACGTCACCTGATGAAGGCCGCTTGTGTTGTGGCCGAAACGTCGTGAGAATATTATTGTGTTATTTTATTTTATCAATTTATTATTTTATTCTCATTCTACGTGACTTTACCGAAAGAACCAAAGAAGATGAATCCTTGCAGTCACGAAAGCTTTAAATCGAAATTTAATATAAATTAATCAGTATAAATTAAGAAAGGATATTGTAATGCATGCAATTAAAGAGGCAAGATGTCCCTTATTCTTTAGGTTTCTCCAAGTCAATTCAGTGGAAGAAATGTGGTCTGAAGATTCTGGCACTGTGATTGGCTTGCTTCTGTATTAATTGACCAATACAATTGAAATATGTTCTACTTGCAGCATCGGGGTGGAGAAATGGCCTAGTGCTGCCTTGCTGTCCACTATTAGAGGCCTCATATTGACTCATCCAAGCCTACGAATGAAGCAATACCAGCATAAACCCATTGAAGCCAAATGAAACCGTGAAGCCTCTTGAGCATTTTTCAGCATGTAATGTTGCATCACCTCTTGAGGTTGGTGACCCCATCAGACATTTATCTGGGATATCCATGCGGTGCCTGAGTCTAATGGTACCTGCTTGCCAACGTCGCCCGAAAAACCTTCATGTCCATCTGGACCAATCGCGCCATTTACTCCCTGCAAAAAATATATATATAATCAGGGGAAGTAATCTGCAGCATCGAGGGGAAAAGGTAAGTTCACATATTCGCATGCAAATTTGGTAAACACATCTTTTCATTGAAAAAAAAGATATATGTCACGTGTGTATGGCATACACATAGTAGGCTGTTGTAAAAAGGCATGTTAACATTTAAATAACAGCACCTCTGTAATGTTTACCGCATTTCTAAATAGTTTTGTGTAACATTTATATGCAATATTCTATTGGAGTTTACATTGTCAAATTTCCATCCTCCACGTTTGTCCTTGGGCCGCCATTACTTGTGAGAAACACCAGCTGATGTCTGGTGAGATTAACAACTCTGATAACGAGTATGTGAGTACGTTGAGAATTCACCTTGTCACCTTTGCTTCCACGATTGCCCGGAGGCCCAATCATTCCTGGGTCGCCTTTGGAGCCCTAGCAGACATGTGCAAGAATATTCCGATGTAAGTTTGCACTTACAGAGACAGCAAAGAAGACAATGGCATAGTCAAGAAACAACACACCCCTCTCACTTCGCATATATTTAAATAAAATATTCTTACTATTAATCCAGGTATTCCTGGACCTCCAAAGTCTCCCTACAAAGACAAATCACACAATCACCAGGATAAATGTTATTGAATATTAAATTGTGACATAGATTATAATACATACATTAGAAACATCTGCAACACTCATGTGCACAAGAGGTTATACATACTTCATCACCCCTCTCTCCTTTTACTCCGTTTAGCCCATTGCGACCACGATTGCCCTAAAAAACATAATGTAAAAGTTAATACAGTATTTTGCACACACAGCAGTAAAAAAACATTTAAGTGATGCTGGATGGGTTTACACAGTTGTATATTTAGCAAATGTATATGGTCCGGCAATAACTTGATATTATTACCGATATAATATGAGCGATAATTCTTGAGGAGGTACATTTTTGCATTGTGTAACACACACGCTTTTGCTGTGCTGATAACGAATCATGTTACAATGTTCAAGGCTGCAGTGCGTCTCGTCTCTGCCATACCTTAGGGCCTGCAGTACCCATTATACCGGGAGGGCCTGGAGTACCTTCGTCACCATTTTCACCCTGCGCAGGGAAATACCACAAGATTAATCTCAGTCAAGTAAAGCACTGGGAAGAAAGCACAAGCATCTGTGCCCCCAATAGGCGCTATCACAGCACATGGATCCAGCTATAAAAAAAAATCCTAGATAAGATAAGAAACACCTGAACACGACAAGCCTGCATGTCTGCCATTTTGGGCCTGTTTATATGTTTTACACACACACACTTAAATGTATTCAATCATCATAAACTTTTGGCAATGTGCCAGGTAGGTGCAATTGGAAGAACCACACAACGTGGCGAACGTTCGTCAGCAGGTCCTGGGATAGACCCAGACATTAATGATTAATGTTCACAAATGTGTAAATGTAATTAAATGTTACCTTTTGGCCTTTCTTGCCAAACAATCCAGCATCTCCCTTGGGACCCGGTTCTCCATGTTCTCCCTGTAACGGCACAGGCTTACTGTGAACACAAGCCTTGTGTTATGGTCTTGTCCTATTAGCACCAACAATAGCTGCTTCCAACAACCTTTTGACGTTCATACCGAATATGTTTGTCTAGAGTACATTTGCTGTGATTGTGTTTGAATTAAGACACATACATCATTGCCTGGGTCTCCAACACAGCCCGGAATCCCGGCGTATCCATGATCACCCTGCAAGAAACAGCGAAGACAGGTCTGGGTTAAACGAGCTGGTCACAGGCTGCAATGGTGCAGGATGCAGTGGACAAGAGATGACCATGGTTCTGCATTGTAAATGCATATTACCTTCAGTCCGTCCTTTCCGTCTATCCCAGGCAAACCCTTGTCTCCCTGGGTAGCACAAATAAGAACATGTCAGCAAACAGTCGGTGGATGAAAGTATGGTGAAATATAAGGGTATTAAATAAATGATAGTACATATGAAGTGTGACATTTAAAAAATATTACACCATTAAGTAAGACCTGAGGTGCGCTAGTCAAACCTTTTGGCCTTGTCCTCCTCTTCCACCCTGGTAAACGGGAGATGATGGCAGACATCAACAAAAGCACAAGATAGCACGTTAATCAAAACACCGCTCAATTTCACACGTGTTCTAAGCAGGTGTCATTAGTTTCAGCAGTTTGCCTTACTAGTGGACTCGCCTGTATGTCTCAAGTTAGTAAAAAGATACACAATTGAGCAAATAGATGCATAACGGAGTCAACCAGAGAAATAACTTTTTAAACTGTATGGTGCAATGAACATGTACACTTACTGCTTCACTTTTTGGGTATACCACCATGGTCTATCAGCACAATGACCGTACTCATGATTTTCCTGACATTTACAAAATGTAGTTTCTTGACCCAGAGGAATTTTTCATTACTTCGAATATTTAGCTTTTTTTTAATTTGTATCTGTGTACGTACGGGCTTTTAACTGTTACAGCTCTACATCAAATGATTTTGCGAAATGCAATTCCAATTTTTACTTTCACAGCACACAGCAATTAAATGAGCAAATTAAACTTTGCAAAATGTAAGTATATTTTTGCATGTATTGTATAGTATAATTATACTTATATCGTGCTTAAATACTAAAAAATATTCTGTTAATGAAGCATTTATACAATTAGCTTACATTGGTATATACAAGTACTGTATTATGCAACGCATCTTTATTCAACAGGGCTTATTTGTGTGACTGGATTGTTACCTTATCTCCAATAATTCCACGGTCACCCTATAAAAAACAAAACAAAGATTCAACGGTATGCATGATGCCTTGAAGTAAAATTAACGCGCTTACAATAACACACTTATTTTTTTGTGTAAAGCAAAATGAACGGCATGAAAATGGGCCCATTAATGTCATCATACCTTCTCACCCGGATGCCCTGGAGGCCCGATGTCACCAGCCAAACCCTGCGAAACATTTCCATCTACATTATCGATGTGTATACTGTCAACATCGTCAGTAACAGCGAGCAACAAGAGTGGCGACTGTAGGAATGTGCCATGGGTGCTGATGTGAACCCTACCGGGAGGCCATCGGAGCCTGCTCGACCAGGCGGTCCTCTCTTCCCGCCTGAGCCCTGGAGAGGAACAGTGCAAGCATCTGCCTGTTAGCCATCATGTGCGCTACCAATGCTGCATCAACTATGCCTATAATGCACTGATACGGGTGCAGATGGTGCAATACACGTGGCTCGTGAGTGTTGTAGTACTTACAGGGTCACCTTTGTCACCTGCGGTTCCAGAGATTCCACGGGGTGCCTGTCAATGAACGAGAAGAGCAATGCTCACTTGGCATCATTTTGCACACCTTTAAGACTTTTGGTGAACTTGTGTTTGTGTTTATGGATGCTTTTTTAAGTATTTCAAAACCTCAGGTACTTACATCACATTCGAAGGTGCAGCACTTAATGAGAAGAAACAAAAACACAAGTTAGTTTTGCGAACAAACTACTTGGGATTCGTGATGCCAGCAGTGTGAGCAATTGATACAAAAAGAACCAGAAGGAATTAAAATGTGCCGGTCTCAGGATTGGCTGTTGAAACGTCCGGAGGTGAAATTACTAAAGTTGGAGAATCATCTTCTTGGTGATATCTTTTCTTTCCTATAATTGTTTAGATGTTGAGTCTAATCATCCGAACCGCTATAACAAATGTTTGTAAACAGAATCCCACACAGCCTCGTGTCACGTGAATGGACATCTCTACTGGACAGAGCTCTCCCAAGTCCCATGACTATGCGATGCCAGTGATGGTCTCTGATGTGACCACACACTGGCTGTGCAGCAAGCCAGTGACACCCCACCAGCCACATTACATTGCACCGTGTTATAATCACAGTAACGGCGTCCAAGACTAACATTCAAAACACTATTATTAGAAATTAGTATTCTTAAAGCTTCATGCGTGCTATATTGGTTTGTTGATCAGTAGTTTTCAATCTTCAAAAATACTTACGTGGTCTTTAACTTGTTTGTACTGAAAAAAGAAAATGGGGAAGTAGTGTTTAATTTCACCAATTCGCACACACACACACGTACTCGACACGGCCATGTATTACAAGTGACATTCAATCTTCTGTGTGACGACTTATTGTATATCCAGGGCCAGTTAAAATACATGCAATTGGAAAAAAATATTTTGAGTGAAAAACATTCGTAAGTTGGTTCTAAATACACTAAAACTCTGTATATTTAATGTTCAAAGTCTCTCAAATTTCGTAACGGTGTATAATAAATCAAGGTCATCGCCCATCAGCATTCAGCAGGCCTGCCATGAAGGCGTCCAAGCGCACTTACAATAGTTTCCAAGATGTCTGTGATGACTTCGTTGTTTGCTATGTCGTTGTCAGTGGCTGAATAGTTTTTCCTGTAGTCTGGACCTGAAGCAATCAAAGCTAGGCGAGTTTCCTAAAGAGAACACACATCACACATAAACAACGTCACTCAATATCGAAGCCAACTCACTTGCGCACAATTTGATGCCTGGTTTCCACGTGGATATGCTGCCGTTTGTCAGAAACAGAGCGTATTTATATATGTCGCAAAATGAACACCATCGAAAATATGACTGTGTTGTGATAATAAATTCACATTATGAGTCACAGGTGCCATGAAACATCGATGTTGTAAGATATATGCTGTGATAACCACTGATATCATAACCACATTAGCCAGCCATACACTTTCCTGCTGTAACTGACACTGATATAGATTTTCAAATCTAAATTGAGGGCCTTTGCACACTGCACAAATCGTGGGGATTATTTGACCATACTTAACCATGCTGAGCAGTGTGGATTGGTGAAGGTGGGAAGCATATGGGAGCATACAAGTACAGTTTCCCAATAGATTTTCCTGCAGTGCTTCCCATAACATAGCGCTGTAGCCCAATGACAACCGGCTTGTGCATTGTTAGCGACTCATCCAAGCACTATCCAAGCCAAACCCTGCTTAATTTCTGAGATCTGATGAGATTGAGCACGTTTCAGCCGATATCATCATCGGTGAACTGAATTCAGTATACGCACATATGACTATGCAAATAACTGGATAACCGTACACTCTATTTCCTTTGCCTTTACATCTTCTCATCTGTTTGGCCAGGCCCCCTGAACTTACTGAATTTCTCGACCAAACAGCACGGGAAACACGGATGACCCAGGAGCTGCCCTGGCACTCACCACGTGCTTGGGGGTCACGGCCACGGCGAAGAACTTGATGTCGAGCCCCTTAGCATTATCCACCACGTGGGTGAGGCCGCCGCAAGGCTCATTGTATCCGTCCAGTGGGTGCCCGTCTGTCACAACGACGATGTACTTGTTGCTCCGCCTGCCGTGCGATTTGGGGGGCACACACCGTATTCCACTTCGCCAATGTGCTTTCGAAGAGCTGAAGCTTGCGTGCGCAATTTTTGCAAAGGTAAAACTGAATGTGTGACCTTGCAAGATGGTAACTGCTCATGCTAGAGCTGGCAGAAGACTCTCCGCAAGAGGGAGTTCTAAAGAGAGCCCCTCTAGGGGGTATTTGGCAGACTCTTTTACGCCGGCCAGACGTCTTGGAAGAGATGTCAGTACCCCACACTTACCACATTACATGCGGCTTGCCGGCCAACTAAATGTGGTGTACTCATTTATACTTCTGGCTGGACAGAGACAGGGGCGATTTAAGAAACTTGTCGATTGTTTCAACTGCCGCGCCAGGAGATTGAACAAGTTCAGTATGCTGACTATTACACCACACCATTATTGTAAGATATTTTAACTGTTCAAACTGCATGGGAAATTATGGAAAGCAAGGATATGTAAATGCAACTCAATTACATTACACAATGTTGAAGACATTTTAAGACACCAGAATTCACAGCACACGTAACCTTGTTCCACTGACACATTCACTTGTTGAGCTTCAACAAGAATCATGCTGAAGAAATGTCTATCAGAAATGCATATTTCTACATTTCTCTTAGTATGAAATGCCAACTTTATGAAAAGCAATCGTATCGTAGTCTATTTTCAAGCTGTGCTTCAATCCTACTGTAGGACGTGAAACTTATTTTAAAGCGTCAAGTTTGTTCTGTGACCGCAGAGTCGTCATTATAATTCATCACATGCTGGGTGTGGTGGTGCACGAAAGCCACCATCTTGTGTGTGAGACACTCATCTCAGGACTACATTGTGGCATTAATTGTGAAAGGATGTACAGCAAGTAAGCTATTGACTGTGCATACATTGCTTTATTTCAACCAGGTATATCAGGGCCAGTGATATTTGCATACCGGGCACACCACCACATCCAGTATGCCTTTCGCTTTGGGTGTGGCTACTCATCACGCCTACTCCATCCAGTCTACCAGAAAATATTTACTGAGATCGAATGTTTTGCTTTGCTCTCGGCACTCTGGTTTCCTCCCATGTACCACTTTGGGGGTGGTCCCACTTTGTGGGAAAAGTCATTAGTGGTTGTTCTAGGAAATATCTGGCCTGCCATAGGAATGTAGACACTGGCTAAGTCATACACTACCACCGGATAAAGGCCATACATAGAAATCACTCCACGGTGGCGAAATATTAACTACCTTGCCTGTCATGCAAGGAGGTCGTGGGTTCGAACTTGACCTTGACACCTGTATATTTGGAGTTTGGATGTCCCCCCCCCCCCGCATGGATTTTACTCGGGTTCCTCCGTTTTTTTCCTCCATATTTAGAAACATGCGTTTATAGTATTTGCCCGCGATAAATTTCCACATGATGAGCCACTTCGTCGAGCTATCATTTGTGGCCAGGCGGCTTCTGAAAAAGAACCATATAGCTCAGTGGGCCTTACCTGGTAAAATAAAAATCAGTTTAGTTTACAGTTTAGATGTGGAACACTTTGATGCGTGAGTACGAGAAGAGCTGCAGCACACCTCAACCGCAGCACCTCGATGGCTTCCTTGATGGCACAGTCGGTGTGGGTGCCACGGCCAATGTACTGGATGGCGCTCACGTTCTTCTTCAGTTCGGCTCTCTTGAATGGCAATTCCACCATCGAACTGACCAACTTCACCTCGTCACTGTAGTGTAGCGCTCCAGCATTCCAAGTCAAGTTCCGATCGCACGGAAAGTACCTGTGACATGGAACCAGGAAGGCGGTGTCAGAATCAGAATCTTTATTTATCCGAGAAAAATCCGATGAGCTATGAAGCTCTTTTCCACAAATGTCCAGTAGGGGCGGGTCAGGATCTGGACAAACCCCAACTGACAAGCCTGTGCGCATGGCATAATCACATTAGCCAGCCATACACTTTTTACATAAAACGCCAGTGCCCTCATATATACGTTATACACAAATAAATAGCGCCCTCTATGCGCCAGGACCCTGAGTTCCAATAAATGCAGCAATGCAGTGTGCTCAAGTGGCAAACTGAACGGTGTCAATATTCACTATCCAATCTGCATTTGCCCAGAGCCTGCAAAATGAGAAGCTGTCTCATTGGAGGATAAATGCATGGGGCACGAGCCATAGTAATTGTCTCAGATCTTTAAAGTCACTTTCCCAGAGGGTTTACAGGCCACTGTATGCGTTTGAGACCGTTCTGTAAGACTTCACGATGTGATTTGAGTCGTGACCATATTATGTGACGCTGGCATATGCACCTGTTGTTGAGTTTGTCAATGAACATGTTGGTAAAGTCCTTGATCTTGTCCACCACGGCTTCGTACGGCTTAATTCGCAGCGCCACACTCTCGGACGTGTCCAGCACAAAGTAGATATCGACCGGGCATTCTGCAGGCATTTGGTGGCACGCACATTGGACGTGGGGGTCACAGCAAGAGATTCTCAACCTCAAAATTAACAACTGCCCATTGTCCATCCTCCTTCCACATTTACCAGTGCCCTCAATTCAGTCTGGGTAATGACAGCAAACATTGCGTGCATTTGTTCACCAATTGTTTCTTAAATTGGAGGACTGGAGTCCGAGACATCCTACTCTTACATTGAATTCCACAGCAATTGTATTTGCGCGTGTAAAAACCTCAATACGTGGACCATGTATTAGTGTAATCAACGTGATGTACACAGTATATACAACGTATAAGTATCTATAACAAAACTGGATCGAGGCAATACAGAATCAGGATATGTATTTATATTGTGGAATCCGATGACCTATAAAGCTCTTTTTCACAGATGTTCAGTAAATGCGCGCTACAATGACGACGACCAATGTGAATACTGTAACGCTTTAGAGGAATCCATGTCTTTTTGAGTTGAGCGTATTTTACCTTCTACGCGCATAATGCTGCGAGCGCGAGTCTGGGCCACGGAGTCGTGGAGGAAGAATGCGAGAAGGGGGAGGCAGATGAGGAGTAGGGCACGGGGCAGGGATGAGACGCGTCCTGGCCGCTCCATGATCAGCAGCAGCGGCTCCTACAACTGCTGATCTGCACGCAAGCACAGCAGTGAGCCACACGCACAGTGGTGAGCTGCACGAACGCACACGGCAGTTGGGTTAGCGACACACACAAGCAGCAGTGAGCCGCGTGGAGGAGCGAGCCCGGCGCGTCGCGGTGTAGGGGGGAGGTGAAGCTGCTGTGTTGTGTTTAGAGAACAAACCCCCACCGCCACCCCAGCATCCCAAGCACCGGCCATTTGAGATTTCCGAGAGTCAACATCACCAACAGCTGGCAACCATCAGCAATACATCGCGTTCTTACGATGATGCGATGGTGGTGGTGGTGGCACGCGCAGACCATGATCTGCTGCTACAGAGTGGGTTCAAATATGAAAACCTGTACGGAACAAGACCGAACTGATACCGGCGGGTGTCCAGCAGTGATGTGGACATTGTTGATGCGAAGAAAAGCCAACGCCTCGAAAGGCTACTGACTAGACCTGCGCAAAGGGGATGGGGCGTGGGTTAACCCGGTGACGGCTGCGGAGCGAACACGCTGACGAGTTTGTCAACGACTGCCCCGGCGAGCCTGGCCTCTGTTTACGCACCCTAATGCACTTGCAAACCACAGTGACGCATCACCCACTCGATGCATTGTTTTTAGAGAGAGCTGTAGAGGTTTTGCGCCGCTATGGTTATGCACACCCAACGAATCATGCGCCACGTATTATCCAAAAACATGCGTTACGTACCTATCCGATAGCCCACACAGTGCTGTTGGGGCAAGTGCCGTGAGCGAACACCTTTAAGAGGGTCGGTACGCAACACGAACGGGCGTGGTGTGGCTAGCACCCACGGCCGACCGCCTTTGTCTCCCCAGTGCTGATATTTACGCATCGCACCAGGTACTGCATTCGTTTAAGATTGAATAGACATGAGCGGTTCAAATAATTGCTGCTATTTGTACTGGTCATGAGCTCGAATCGAACTCGGGATTTTAGATATCCCCCGTATAACCTTAACAGGCTGTTAGGGGACTGGCAACCCCTCCACGAAGGGGACTGGCAACCCCTCCACGGAGGAGACTGGCAACTCCTCCACGAGGGGACTGGCAACCCCTCCACGGAGGGGACTGGCAACCCCTCCACGAAGGGGACTGGCAACCCCTCCACGGAGGAGACTCGCAACCCCTCCACGGAGGGGACTGGCAACCCCTCCACGGAGGAGACTCACAACCCCTCCACGGAGGAGACTCGCAACCCCTCCACGGAGGGGACTGGCAACCCCTCCACGGAGGAGACTCGCAACCCCTCCACGGAGGGGACTCGCAACCCCTCCACGGAGGGGACTCGCAACCCCTCCACGGAGGGGACTGGCAACCCCTCCACGGAGGGGACTCGCAACCCCTCCACGGAGGGGACTCGCAACCCCTCCACGGAGGAGATTCGCAACCCCTCCACGGAGGGGACTCGCAACCCTCCACGGAGGAGACTCGCAACCCCTCCACGGAGGAGACTCGCAACCCCTCCACGGAGGGGACTGGCAACCCCTCCACGGAGGAGACTCGCAACCCCTCCACGGAGGAGACTCGCAACCCCTCCACGGAGGGGACTCGCAACCCCTCCACGGAGGAGACTCGCAACCCCTCCACGGAGGGGACTGGCAACCCCTCCACGGAGGAGACTCGCAACCCCTCCACGAAGGAGACTCGCAACCCCTCCACGTAGGGGACTGGCAACCCCTCCACGGAGGAGACTCGCAACCCCTCCACGAAGGAGACTCACAACCCCTCCACGGAGGGGACTCGCACATTCTCAGAGCAGGCGATGAAAGCGTGGCGCATGAATGACGTGGAGTAAAGTTGGCGAGCATAAACTTGCTGCGTGCGATCATCAAATGCGTACACGCACAAAAGCTTACACTGCACCGAAATACTGCTGATACCGTATTCACAATTACGTATTAACACCGATATATATTCGAGTTGTCAAACGATAAATACAAACAGAGCAACGACGAAAATGACCCCCGCGTGCAAGAACGCACCGCGACTCTCCGATGCGTTAACGCGCAACGCCCAGGGATGCAAGGCGCGCGCAGTGCGAGATTAGCAAGAGGGTGCCCAGCAAGTATCATGGGTGGTGGAGGTGGTGGTGATGGTGATGATGGACGCGTGTGGTGTGATGGTGAAGCAAGGCTGGCCGCGCGCAAGGAGCTGCTCACCTTGAGAGGCCGGTCGTCAGGTCTTCGGGTCCTCACGTCTGGGATCTTGCGCTGAGGATGGCCGAGACGGGGGGCGGGGTTGGCGGGGGAAGGAGGAGGAGGAGGTGGTGGGGGTGGGGGAGGCGTCTGCGCTCCATCTTCTGGCGTCGTTCCCGGCACGGTCCCTCCTCTCTCGTCGTCCTCGGCAATCGGTCGGCCCGCCCTGAGTGACAGCGGGGCGGAGCGTCGCTCAGCCGCTCGGCATTTCACCTTCAAAACGTGCCGAGAGCCTAGGTAGGCTGGGGGTTCAGTGCGGAGACGGTGCATGTGCTGTGGCGGGGCGACGTAGCACTTGCCCACCGTTTAGTCACAGTCTTCGGCAGCCGGGTCGGCTCAGCGCAAGCACATACAAAAGTGAGTTTATGCTGCCACTCATCATTGTTGCTATTAATGTTTAGCAGTATGCCATGCGCGTTGAGCATCATTGATATATTTCCGGCGGGTGTCGCGCGCGCACAATGACGTGAGTTTGACTAAACATTTGGAATTAAAAAAAAAATATAAACAATGCCCCTTGTTGCGGCGTTTGTGCGAGGCGGTTGTTGATTGATGGTGAATTTACAAATTCTGCCTCGTTAAAACTTGATGAGCACGAGCTGACAAAAGGCGAACGCATTTTTTTTTGCATTTCAATTACTTTATTGTTTGATGCGGGAAGAAGGGTAAATTAAATGTGAATTCGTATTTTATATCAATGTTTGCCAAGACGTTGCACATGTTGTACAGGTTCGGCAGACTTTACAATGACCGTTAACGTTTTAGATATTTGTGAAGCAATTGAAGATATCTCTTCATGAACTGCCTGGCTATAAACCTGAGCATTGTGCACACAGTCGGGGGTGATTGATGCATGCCATCTGGGGATCCAAAGAGTGCCACAGCGCCCCTGCTTCGGGCCGTGTGTGCGCTGACGGTGCCTGTAGCCCCGTGCTCTCAGCATCACGTGCGGAACGCCTCTCTGCACCGGCTCGCATGCCCATTGTGCTCCTTCACTCAACACCACGATGGTGTGAGCGAACGTAGCGCTGCTGAGACGCGCTACGTTCGCTGCTCGGGCATCAGTCATTAATTGGCTTTGCCGCCACCCTCTGCAGACACCCCGATGGCACGCACCAACATCTTGAGGTGGTATAACCTAACCTTAATCCCAAACGCAGTCAAAGTGTCTGTCGGCAGAAATGAGCGTACGACATAGTTGGGCAGTCCCAATAAATTCTGCATTCCACATTAAATACTCAATTCAGATTTTTGCATAGATAAATGATCGCCCCACCCATCTATTGCCGGACTAATGTCCGTTTTCAGGCCAGGTCCTGAGTTACCTTGTGCTCACAGGGACAGCTGGTACTAGCGGTGCCCTCTCAAATGTTAGGAGTGAGAAGTGAGGTAGATAGAGCACGCTTAGACGTCCCGGGGGCATAGAGCGCTATATCGAAATCATGATCGTTATCGCGATGCGTGCAGATCGAAGCGGGCGTTCTACTCTAGCTCCCTGTGAGCTTTGCACGCCAACCGTATTGTACGTGACCCGAAGTGTGTGCTGTGTTAGATACTGAGGTACAACGGTAAATCATGAGTGTTTTTTTGTGGTGTACGCAGCTTTGTTTTGTATGAGATTCCTTTGTTCCACGAGTTCAGGGAAAATTACATTTTAATCAATTAGAATGAGAAATGATAGTTGCACTGCATGTTGGAGCATCATACACCACAACATGACTCGGATCCTCAAAAGTGTAAAAATATTGCGTGACAAGTTAGTAATGCAGTAGCAGCATTTTTCCATTCATTCAAACGAAGCAGGCGGCTCCTGGGCATGCGGGACATTCCAAAGTCAGTGGTGAGGACTCAGAAACGCAGAGATAAACCAATCGAGTTATGTGCTCTGCAGGCTGCCTGGCCCATGTGCCCAATGCAAGCCTGCCATGTGTTTTTTGTTTCGGGACTTTATTCAAATCCATCTGGTAGCAAGAGACGTTGGCGGTCAACACTAGCGGACACTGACGGCCGCTTTGAGAAATTTTGTAAATGCAGTTCTTAGGAGTGCACGGATGCCTTCATTGCACATTTCAGTCGGTGCCAGTTCAGCTCCACGTTTTAATCGATGTAAAGTGTACAGCAGCATATGAAATCGACGCAGCAACACACTCAACGTGTGGTATTATATTGACACTTAGAAAAGCCACACTGAGTCTCGAGACCTCTTCAGGAAAGTCCGGAAATGGCTTGTTTGGCTAATTTACATTCTGTAACGGGTGTGTTGCACACAGCATAAATCTAAAAGTTAGAGGAGACCCAAATATATAAGGGGACAACTTAAAAAGTAGTGCAGAAAAATTCATGGACCCACTTGCTTTACTGCCATCTCCTGGCCACTTTGTATCCCAGTGCATTTGGGAATTTCACATATGTTCATGATCTACTACCGACTCTTGCCTCCAAAATGCAGGATTGCAGGTGTGCGCTATCATGCGGTGCATTTCACGACAATGTGGAGTCTCTGTACACATTTATTTTTTGTCGCATGGAGTTTACGTTAATTTGAAAACCGCTGACCCAGAAATGTAATGGAAAATATGACTCCGGAAAGAATGAACCACAGCCTCTGTCTGGAAAAGTTTAGAGAGCAGATGAGAAAGAGACTCCTGTCTGCTCCAGCAGCATTCCATCTGCCACAAGGGAACACTTATTCTTGGTTATTTCGGTAAAGTCACGTAGAAGGGAAACAATAAAATAATAAAAATCTAAAACAATAAAATTCTCACCACGTTTCGACTGCAACACAAGCAATCATTATCAGGTGTGAAAACCACAGCAAGAAAATTAGAAAAAAGTACCGTGTTTTAGGTCTGCTTTGTGTTCACGGATGCGGTCCGAGACATGTCGTTTGGTTTCTCCAATGTAACTACTACCACAGAGGCAACTTAGTTTGTGGACGCCAGGGTACTGTATGTCCGGAATCACATCTTTTACAGAGGAAACCAGATCACGGATTTTATGTAATGTGTTGAATCGGACCTGGATCTTGTGTTTACTCAAGATTTTGGAGATCTTTTTTTGTGATCCCCGCAATGTAGGGTAAAGTAATGGTTTTGAATGGCTCCTCAAGAAGGTCCTTCTTCATGGTTGGAGTGATAGCTTTGCAGATTGTGTAGTCGGAGTAACCATAAGAGCTTGGTGTACGTGCTTGAGTTCACTGGCTATGTGTCCCTGGTCGGATATGCATTGGGCTCTATGGTGCAGAGTCTTGATGAGGGAATTCTTTTGGGATGGATGGTGGTGGGAATCCGGTTTCAGGTAAGCATCCGTATGGGTAGCTTTCCTGTAGACAGAGTGGCTCATTGAACCATCAGGTCTCTTTTTTATTATCATTCCGGACATACAGTACCCTGGCGTCTACAAACTAAGTTGCCTCTGTGGTATTAGTTACATTGGAGAAACCAAACGACATGTCTCGGACCGCATCCGTGAACACAAAGCAGACTTAAAACACGGTAGGACCAACACCTCGGCCGTGGCAGATCACTGTTATAATTCAGTAGGCTCACATGACATTGACTTCTCCAAGACAGAGGTTCTCTGCAAGCCATCTGGCTATCATGAGAGATTCGTTCATGAGGCTATCCACATATACAAACACAGCGACAATTTCAACTGAGAAGATGGATTCTGGCTTAGCAATCATTGAAAGGATTTGATAAACTATTTCGGGTCTTAATTGATTGTTCACGCTTACCGTGGCTTTCAGACCGCAAACATTATTTTCGTCTCGCCCCTCCTCTTTTCCGAACATAGATGGACTCGTCCATTTGAATAACTGCCAAATCGCTCTCCGTGGTGCTAACGTTAATAAAAACGCCACTTTTTTCGAATTTTCTTGCTGTGGTTTTCACACCTGATGATGATGATGATTGCTTGTGTTGCAGTCGAAACGTCGTGAGAATTTTATTGTTTTATATTTTTATTATTTTATTGTTTCCCTTCTACGTGGTGACTTTACCGAAAGAACCAAGAATATTAATCCCTGCAGTAACGAAAGTTTTAAATCAAAAGGGAACACTTCTTAAAAAAAAGGCAAAAAGAACAACGCTATGAAATAATCATGAATCACTTATAAATGTTATGCCCCTTATACATCTGTATATTGCTACACACGAATTAAATGATTCTGCATTCACTTTTTAGAAGGTATCTAGTTATAACCTCTTCCAATATGTCGGGTGAGTGTGGAAGTGTAGACCAAAATGTACTCTCGAGGTGCTCTCTCGAGCTCCCTTTGCGTCCCTTCTGCCAACAGTTGAATGAGAACGTAATTTCAGTGTTGCACTTTATAGTTATAAAGTTACCTTGAGGAATTCTGAATAGATCCAATGAGAATCCGTCTGACGACCGTGACACTGGTTGGAATGGCTCAGAGATGAGGGCCAGAGAAGCTGGGCGGTGGTGCCACATGCCTGTAATCCAGCACTGTGGCGTTAGCGAGGGTTGGTAGATTTCACTGTTGTGAAACTCCCTTCCCATGAGCGTCGAGGTCCCATACCCTGGCTTGCCAAGAGAATGCAATACTGTACACCAAGAATGTGGACTCCACCTGTTTCGTCTGTATAGGATACAGTGTTTCCACCTGGCACGTGTTGTGTTTTCTCCGGGTGCTTCGGTTTCCTCCCACTTGTAAACACTCATTAATTAGCCAATAACATGTTTATATAGAGGACCGCAGAGTTTGGGCAATTGTTAGCACCGAATATCCTGTGGCTGCCTTCCTGCTTGTCTGCAATCCCTTGCACCTCGCTGGATTCACAGTGCAGAAACCACTGTGCCACATAATAATGGTCTCATTAATATATCTAAGACAGCTTCACTGAGTCTTAAGACTTTTTCAGGAGGGTTCTGTATTGGAATAGTTTGGTAATTCGAAATTCCTTTTTTTTGTAAAGGCTCACCGGCATAACGATAATGAAGCTCTTTAACGTACTGTATTTCTAAAAATGCATCTACAGCCATGGTCTAACATTAAATGAGATTCCTTAAGAAACAGTGTACCTTCCCATTGCTGCTGCTG